CATACCTGTGCCCGTACCCATACCCATACCCATACCCATACCCGTACCCATACCCATACCCGTACCCATACCTGTGCCCGTACCCGTACCCATGCCCATGCCCTTGCCTTGCCTTGCCCCTGCCCTGCCCCTGCCCCGCCCCTGCCGTTCCCGCCCTCGGCTCTCCTCCAATAGCAGCTCACCTCCGCCTCGCGTTCGAAACGCCGCCACTCAGGGGGCGTGGCTTGGTCTTACCCAATCAGCGCCGGCGTGGGGCGGGGCTTCCGCCGGCGCCTAGCAACCGGGGGAAAACCCCGCCCCTGCTGCCCGCGCCGCGCCGCCGCCTCAGGCCGCGGGTGCGTGTGAGGAGGGGGTAATTAGGGGAGGGGGGTAATTAGGGGAGGGTAATTAGGTGGGGGAGGGTGCTCAGCTCCTCCATTGTGGGTGCTCAGGCTGAGGAGCGGTGAGGTAATCCGGGGTGGGGGGGTCAGGATTAGGCCTTAGTGCGCTGGGCCTGTGTGGGGCTCGCTGTGCCCTAAGGGGGGGTCCCCTTCCTCGGGTGGGAGGTGTGGGGTGCGTTTATGTGGGCAGGGGGGGGTCCCTGTGGGTGAGATGGGGAGGGCTGTGCCTTGGGGGGGGTCCTGCCTGTAATGTCCAACCCCTGGGGCAGTTTTGGGGTGTCCCCTGCACAGGGAGGGGCGTTGGGGCGGGGGGGGGGGGGGGCTTTGGGATGGGGAGAGGGGCCCTGCCTGCTGCAGGGAGGGGGGGCACGGGCGGGTGACCCCATCCAAAGCACCTGTGGGGTCCCAGCATGGCAAAGGGGGGGCCTGGAAGGGGAAGGGTGGGCCCCGGGAGGGTGGGATTTATTGGGCTCAGCTGGGGCCTGCGGGGCTCAGAGGGGTGATAAAGGATGGGGTTGGGTCCCATCCTCCATCTGAGAGCAGGAGCAGGCTCCCACCAGCCTGGACCCGGGTTAACCCCCGTTAGCCAGAAGGAAGCTCTCAGTTAAACGCTGTTGTTGCCATCCCGTTCGGGCAGCGCTGACCCCCGGGTTCTGCCACCTCCGAGCCTCCCACAATGCAGAGAGCATCGCGGCTGAAGAGGGAGCTCTCGCTCCTGACCACGGAGCCGCCCCCGGGCATCACCTGCTGGCAAGAGGCAAACCGGGTGGATCAGCTCCGAGCACGTACGTACCCCTCGGGGGGAGGGGATGCGCTGGAGCTTGCTATCGAGCTTGGATTTGCTGGGTGCTGTCTGCTTGGTGGGTTATATGGATGGTGGGGTTGTCTTGTGTTGGCTTTCTTTAAGCTTGGCCAATGGTTCTGATTGCCTTGGAGTGGCACTGGTCACACAAATGCCCTCTTTGTTCCTTGCTCTTGAACTTAAGTGCTCTGTAAGTGCTACAGATGCTGTTGGACGAATTGCAGTGGGTTTGAACGTAACGTTTCTGTCTGAATCTTGCTCCTAAAGAAATCGTAGGAGCTGCAGGCACGCCGTATGAGAAAGGGATATTCGACCTGGAAATACTGGTTCCTGAAAGGTGAGTGGGCAACGACATCTAGTGAGGCAGCTGGGGTAGTGCTGCTTCACTTAAGATCCTTGCTGCAGGTGCTTCCTTTAAGTCTTTCTTTGTTGGGAGGCAAAAGGAAGGTGGTGGATTAGGTGAGAGCCTTCATTTAAGGAATGTCATCAGCTGATTTCCATGAGCTGCTGTATTTGTTTCACATGGGACATTCTCTAGCATGTGATTAAAGGCACTAGGACATGGTCTCTGCTTCCTCATAGTCCTCAAAGCTTCCTGGAAAGGAGCTTGTTCACGAGTGGAAAGCTTCCTTCCACGTTTGCTTTGTGGGAAGCTACCCAGGGAAGTGCCAGTGGGATGTGGTGAAGGCAAAGCCTTACCTCCTCCAGGCATCTGTGGGGAAGGATGCCACTTTCTATACAGCCAGGGGAGGGAATGATGGCATTATTGGGTGCTGGTGTAGAGAGGAAAGTAACTTTATGTTTCTTGACACTTGTCCTTAAAGGTACCCATTTGAGCCCCCCAAGATTCGCTTTCTGACCCCAATTTATCATCCTAACATTGACTCTGCTGGGAGGATTTGCATGGATGTTCTTAAATTACCACCAAAGGTAAGAGAGCTCCTTGGGCCCGAGCACAACAGTGACCTCCTTGTCTTGTTCTTGTAAAACCCTTCTTGAATGTCTGTTTGCTACTGACTTATTTACACAGGAGCACGGGAATAAAGTTTCTGAGCAGCATCTCCTTTGTTTAGAGACTAGAACATGAGCTTTTCTTCCACAGAAGGTTCCAAGATTTAGGGATTGTTGTCAAAAGGCATTAGGTGGTTCTGTGGATATGGGTTACCCTGGTCCCACCAAGCAGAGCCAGGGAGGATGTGGTATCAGTCAGCCTTCCTCAGAGAGGCCATCACTGCCTGGGTGTTGAGAGCAGGGCTGGGGCTTTGGTGGGGCTGAAGTGCTGCACGTCCCGAGGCAGCTTGTAAGCAGATGAGGTTTAAATGCTGCCAGGCCTGAGGTTTCTCTAGGCAGCCCATGGGCATGTTTCATAGAATCCCAGACTGGTTTGGGTTGGAAGGGACCTTAAAGCTCATCCAGTTCCAACCCCTGCCACGGGCAGGGACCCCTTCTGCTAGAGCAGCTTGCTCCAAGCCCCTGTGTCCAACCTGGCCTTGAACACTGCCAGGGATGGGGCAGCCACAGCTTCTCTGGGCACCCTGTGCCAGCACCTCAGCACCCTCACAGGGAAGAGCTTCTGCCTAAGAGCTCAGCTCAGTCTCCCCTCTGGCAGGTTAAAGCCATTCCCCTTGGCCTGTCCCTACATCCCTTGTCCCAAGCCCCTCTCCAGCTTTCCTGCAGCCCCTTCAGGCACTGGAGCTGCTCTCAGGTCTCCCCTTCAGGAGCCTTCTCTTCTCTAGGCTGCCCCAGCCCAGCTCTCTCAGCCTGGCTCCAGAGCAGAGCTGCTCCAGCCCTCGCAGCATCTCCATGGCCTCCTCTGGACTCGCTCCAACAGCTCCACGTCCCTCTTGTGCTGCTGCCCCAGAGCCGGATCAGGGCTGCAGGGGGGTGGTCCCAGGGTTCTTTCTAACTGCTGCTCTCACCCCATTTCCTTGCAGGGTGCATGGACACCTTCCTTGAACATCTCCACTCTGCTGACCTCCATACAGCTGCTGATGGCAGAGCCCAACCCCGATGACCCTCTCATGGCATCCATAGTATGTGAGCTCTTCCTCTTCCTCTCCTGCAGCTGCAGGCACAGACTGGGGAGGAGCAGGGTGTTAGATTCAGGCTGTGCTTCCCCTTCCCCTGCCCTGGCTTAACACACAAGCAGTGTAGCTCGCTCTTGGCCAGGCCTGGGGGCATGCCTGTGTTTCCCAAAGGCAGCTGGGGCAGGTGGAGCTGGGCTCAGCAGAGATATAAAGCTCTTGTCCTGCCACTGCAAACAGCAGTGTGTGTTCACTCGGCAAACAGAAGTCACTTCATGTGTTGTACCGTGGGCTCATAGGGGGTTTGATCTGGTTTAAGGGTCCGAAAGCAAGACCTTAGGCCCAGCTTCTTGGTGTGATGTTTGCATGAAGTCAAATCTCTCTTTGCCTTATGTTCAGTCCTCAGAGTACAAGTACAAAAAGGAGCTTTTCCTGCTGAATGCCAGGGAGTGGACTGAGAAGCATGCGAGCCAGCAGAAGAGGGTAAGAAGCACCCTCCGTGTGCTCAGCCGAGGGTGGCTCTGCCTGTGAGCAGCCCTCCTTATCCCAGTTTGCCTTTCACAGTCACTTTGTGCAGCGTTCCCCTTCCCTCCCCTTCTGTCCTGTGGTTTGGATGGGTTTAATTTGGTTGTACTTTATTTAAGGTCATTAAAATCTAATGATTCTAATGGTGGGTTTGGGATGTCTCTAGAGAAGGAGGCTCTGCACCTCTGCCCCCCCGGGCAGCCTGTCCCAGTGCTCTGCCACCCTCAGTGGGAAGAAGCTCTTCCTCCTGCTGAGGTGGAACTTGCTGTGGTTCAGTTTCTGGCCATTGCTCCTCGTCCTGTGCCTGGGCACCACTGGGAAGGGTCTGGCACCATCCTCCTTCGAGCTACTGATGGGATCCCCTCTCGGGCTGCTCCGGACCCACCAGGCCCAGCCCCACAGTCACCTCCTCCTCCTGTTATCACAGGCTTTGGGAGAGAAGCTGGACCCCAGTGCCACCAGTGCCCCCGAGGGAGCTGCTGCCCAGAAGAGGAAAGGGAGCAGCGTGAGCAAGAAGGAGAAGAGCCCTCGCCTGGAATCCTGAGCGGGGTTTGTTCCTGTGGCTCTGCCCTTTTCCCTTTGCACAGCTGGGCCTCAGGGGTGGAGCTGAACAGAGCCTGCAGCAGGTTTTCCTAGGTTTTTTTTTCCCTGTGGGATGTTCCATGGTGTAAATAAGCCATACAGCTTTAATTTCTACCTGGGTTTCTGGTTTGTTGGGTGGAGTTTATGGAATATCCCAAAGCAAAGGGGAACGGGAAGTGCTGCTTCAGCTTCTGCCTTCCAGCTTTCAGAGAACTGACAACAGCACCACATATTCTGGTTTCTGGTTTACTCTGTTTTCCTCCTAACACTGAAGTGCCTAAAGGACAGGAATCCTGCAAGCTTCAGTCTCCTGACCGTTGGAATTCCAGCTTTCCAGAGCTGTGTTAGACTCTGGATGCAGCTTGGACCAGGTCAGAGGACGCAGCTGCGCCTGGATGTGGTGTCTCACCAGTGACAGGCACCAGTGCAGGGGGGTGAAGAAAAGCCCAAAGGGTGCCCACAGGTCTGGCAGTGGGATGGGGAGGAGAGATGGGTGCCAGCACCCCTCAGCTGGAGAAGGCTTGTAGGATGAAGGACAACTTTTAGGGGCAGGACATCTCTTACCAGAGCCTCCTGCTCCACACAGTTGCCTGCAGGGCATTTAACCCATGTCCTGTCCCTGCTCCAAGGGAACGTGAGCCAGGCCCAGCCTTCTGTGTCCATAGGAGCAGAGACAGGACTTGGGGAAGGAACAGGCAGGGAATGAGAGAGCTGTGCTCTGACACGCCAGGACCTGGAGCATCCTTCCTGCTGCTGGCTCCAACCCTGGGGCTGCTCTCTGCTGGGCCTCGTCCTGCTCAGTCGAAGTTGTAGTAAAGGCAAAAGGCGAAGAACATGGCAAAGATCTGCAATGACAGGAGGGGGGGGAGCAGGTCAAAGCCCCCCCCCATCCTTCACCCCAGGTGGTTTTACACCATGTGTGCCTTCTGGGGGTGCTTGTGGCAGCCAGAGGCTGGGGAGCGCCCATCCTGGTCCCTTCACCCCCAGAGAACCCGGCTGCGGTGCCTGCCCCATCCCAGCCCCATGCAGCACCTCGATGCCCAGCACAACCAGGCTGCAGATCCCAGGCAGAGACACGAACTGCTGCAAGGTCCGGCCGAAGGCAGAGAAGCAGCCCTGGAGGAGGGAGATGCTGGAGGGGGGTCCTCATGCTCCCAATGGGGCCGGGAGCTCAGAGGGTGACCAAGGTGCGGGCAGGATGAGGCGGTGATGGAGGGAGCCCCCCACCTGCTCATGGATGTACCCAGGGCTTCGGTCCTGGCACTGCTCCCAGCCCAGCAGCTCCCCTGCCTGCAGGAGCCCATCGCGGGCGCAGCACACGCGGGGCCACGGCATCCCCGGGTGCAGCTCCTGGAAGCAGGAACCGTTCCCAAAGTCTTCGGGTCCTAAAACACCACAACAGGAGAACTGGACAGGAAGGGGACTGGCATCAATGCGCTGCCAGCGGGGAGTGGATGCAACAGCCCCACACTGGGGGCCACGAGCCCCTCGCCTGCAGCCAGGGTCACCCTCGGCAGGTCCCATGGGTGCTCACCGTGACCATGAGGGTGTTCCAGGCCGTGGAGAAGACCTCGGCACCCTCGTCCCCGCGGTAGCTCCTCCGCAGCTCAGACAGGAGCAGCTCCGGCTGCATCTGTGGGTACCAGGGATGGGACCCACCTCGAACCAGCCCCATTCTATGGGATGTAGGTACCCAACCACCCAGGGTGAGGCTTGCGTGAGGGGGATGAAGATAAGGGTGATGAAGGCTGCCCCCCACAGCAGACCCAGAGGAACCCAGGGCAGGAGGAGAGGGGCCGGTACCTGTTTCCAGTGCAGCAGGAAGAGAACGGCCCCAACGAGCTGCGTGATGAAGACGAGGCTCACGAGGATGAAGAACTGGAAAGCATCGGGATGAAGGCATCAGAGACCAGCCCCACTCCAGCTCTTCCTGCCCTCCTCTGCAGCCTGCCCTGCCTGTCCCTGGGACCAAGGGACACGGGGGAGGAAGCTTGGAAATGCCACAGGGGACAACCCAGTGCCCCTCATTGCTGCCTTTTCACGTCCTTTGGGCTCTACACAAGATGGAGACTGGGGTGGGAGCTGCTTTGCCTTCCCCAGAGGGTGCTCAGGCATTGGAGCAGGCTGCCCAGGGCAGGGCTGGAGCCACCGTCCCTGCAGTGCTCAGTGCTATGGGTCAGTGGTGGCTTTGGCAGTGCTGGGGTAAGGCTTGGACTGGATGAACTGAAAGGGCTTTTCCAGCCCCATGGATGCAATGGTTCTGGGAGGGATGGGGCATATGCGGGCTCCAATGGGGAACCCCCCCCCCATCCTCGCACCCCGCTCACCCCCAGCAGCAGCGCTCGGCTCCGGCGCAGGGCCCCGCAGCAGCCCAGGAAGCCCAGCAGCGCCAGGGCCGTGCCCACGGCCAGCAGCAGGAAGGCACCGGCGCTCAGCACCCCGTTGGCAGCCACGATGTGCTGGAAGCCGGATGGGTCCACGGCCACCCAGAGTCCCACGGCCACCAGGCTCGTCCCCCCGGCCTGCGGATGGGCCGCGGTTACGGGGTGCAGGGACCACCCCCAGGCACCCCATGGGGACCGGGGGTGCAGTGAGCTTGGCGGGGGACACACGCACACACTCACAAACACCAGCGCGTTGAAGATGAGCATCAGGTACTTGACGCAGCTCAGGACACCCATGGGGACACCGCAGGCGGAGCTTCACGGCAGCGTTGGTCCCTATGGAGGGGAGAGCAGAGCCTGGACCCCCCCCTCCCCGGAGCATCCCCTCCATCCCCATGGCACCCTCCGGACCCCACCAGCACTCACCCTGCGGGGCCTCCGAGCGGCACCGGCAAGGATGGAAGAAGCTCCGTGCCAAGGGGAGAAACCCCCTCTGCAGGGGGAAGGGGGGGGCCATGAATGATTGATGGGGAACAGGATCCGCCATTGTCCGGGTGTCCTTAACGGGGGTAACCAAAGCCCGGGCAGGGAAAGCCGAGCCGGGCCCCACAGCGCGGGGGGGGGGGAACCTCGGGCATCGGTGACTGCTGCGGGCACCGGGACACGCGGACAGCGGGGGCCGGGACGGGGCCCCCCCCGGCTCTGCCCCGTTCAACCGGGCTCCATCACTGCGCCCCCCCACCCCACCAGTAGGGGGCAGGCGAGTGCGCGACCATAGAGACAAGGCGGGGCAGCTGGGACGGCTTCTCCAATCGCAACGGGGGCAGGAGAGACAGACAGCGGCTGTAGCCAATCAGAAAGCGGCGTTTTGTTAAGGGGCGGGGTTTCTAGCGCCGAGCGGGGCGGAAGCGGCCCCGGTCCCTCAGAGTCGCTTCCGGTGCCGCCGCCGCCGCCGCCCTGTGCGGGATGTAGCGGCCGGTGAGTGCGGCGGGGCCGGGGCTGTCGTTATCGTTATCGCCATCGCCATTGCCGTCTGTCGTTATCGCTGTCGCGGTGCCGCTCCTCACCTCTCTGTTCTTTCCCCCCCCTCCGCAGCGCGGCGGCACAAGGACGCGGAGGACCCGGCCCCATGGCGTCCCGCAAGGCCTCCGCCGCCGGGCCGGGCACCGCGCTGGGCGCCGCCGGCCGCGACAGAGCGCACCTGGAGCTGGCCGAGCTGGGGCCGCTGCTGGAGGAGAAGGGGGAGCAGGGAGCAGGCGGCTCGGCCGCGGTAAGCACCGAGCTCAGGGGCACCCGGAGCCGGGCACCCGCGGGTGGCTGCGCCGGGCTGGTCCCGGAGCGGCTCCCGAGGTGCGGGGGAGGGGGGGTGGTTCTGTGGCAGCTTCATGTAGGGGTGAGGTGAGGACGCGCTGCTGCTGCTCGCGGTGGTCCCGGTTCCCGGCTCTTCCATGGCCCGGAGGGCTGGGAATCAGCTTCCCAAAGCCGTGAATGGGAGAGCCGGGGTGGGCCCCGGGGGAGCTCCGGGAGCTGCAGGCTGGGCTCCGTGCTGGGCGCACAGGGATGGGGTTCCTGGGTGAAAATCCCCCCCCCGGTAATCCCGTCTTGCAGTAAGGATAAACCTGGGATTACTCTGCCCGCGATGGGGAGGACGGGGGCGCGTTGTGTAAGTGCTGGTGCCCGGTGGGCCCTGCCTGTCCCCCTGGATGAGAGGGGCCCCTGGGTGCTGGCAGAAGGGGCTCCTTGCGCTCCGCTCCTCCCATGGCCTGCAATGATTTTCCCTCCAGGCTGAAGAGCCGCCGTGCCCGGCGGCCCGTGAGGAAGAGGAGGAGGTGGTCCGTGTGCTGACGCTGCCTCTGCAGGCTCACCATGCCATGGAGAAGATGGAAGAGTTTGTGTACAAGGTATGGGAGGCTGTAGCCCAGCTCCCAAGTCCTGATTTTGGGGGTGTTAAAGAGGCCCTGATGCCCTAAACCCCGGGCTGAAGATGCTGGCCAGGGGCTGGGAGGCGCTGCGGTGTCTGGCTCTGCTCCCTGCAGCATCTCCTGGGAATGGTGTGGGACGGGGATGCTGAGGGTTGTACCCAGCCATGGAGGACAAGCAGCGACCTGGGAGCAGTCCTGGTGTCTCTGTGGTCCTCTAACTGGGACCTGTTACTGGTCTCACTGGGTGCCTGTGCTCACGGTTGCTGCTGTTTGGTGAGCAGCGTCACGAGCTGGGGACCAGCCTGGTCCTGGTGCCATCCAGGGCTCCTTCTTTCCACTCTGGAATGGGAGGGAACAGGGGCTGTGGAAGGGTTAAATCTAAGGCTGCAAATCCGGGGATGTGCCTGGTTTAAGGGCTCCCTTGTGCTGTAAAACCCAAACCTCACACACACACACGCACCCCGAGGAGCATCCCAGGGCATTTTCAGCCCTTCCTGGGCTTATTCCATGCAGGACTTCGTGCTCTGGGGGTGGGTGGATGCGACCCCGAGGCTGGCTGCAGCTCCAGGGCCCAGCAGCATCTCGGTGTCGTGGTGCAGGTGTGGGAAGGGCGCTGGCGGGTGATCCCCTACGACGTGCTGCCCGACTGGCTCAAGGACAACGATTACCTCCTGCACGGGCACCGCCCGCCCATGCCCAGCTTCCGCGCCTGCTTCAAGAGCATCTTCCGGATACACACCGAGACGGGCAACATCTGGACACATCTGCTAGGTGCTGGGGCCTCGGGGGGGGACCCCAGGGCTGGGCTCAGGCACTGCTGGTGCCTTTGAGAGTGGGGTGGAGAAACGTGCCCTGGGGAAAGCAGGGAAAACGTGGGGCGAGCTTCCCTCTGCAACGGTGCCGTGTGTTCCCTGCAGGCTTTGTGTTGTTCCTGTGCTTGGGAATCCTGACCATGCTGCGGCCCAACATGTATTTCATGGCTCCTCTCCAGGAGAAGGTGGTGTTTGGGATGTTCTTCCTGGGAGCCGTGCTGTGCCTCAGCTTCTCTTGGCTCTTCCACACTGTCTACTGTCACTCGGAGAAGGTCTCGCGGACCTTTTCAAAGTGAGTCAGCACGAGAGGCTTTGGCATCCTCTTGGGAAGCGCTGCCTTTTATCCCTGGGGAGAGTTCACTGAACCTGGAGTGAACCACAGCTGGGAGCGGGGGGGTCTCTGTGCAGGAGTGCTTTAAATCATAGAGCCCCAGCCTGGTTTGGGTTGAAGGGAGCTTAAAGCTCCTCCAGCTCCAACCCCTGCCACAGGCAGGGACCCCTTCCACTGGAGCAGCTTGCTCCAAGCCCCTGTGTCCAACCTGGCCTTGAGCACTGCCAGGGATGGGGCAGCCACAGCTTCTCTGGGCACCCTGTGCCAGCGCCTCAGCACCCTCACAGGGAAGAGCTTCTGCCTAAGAGCTCAGCTCAGTCTCCCCTCTGGCAGGTTAAAGCCATTCCCCTTGGCCTGTCCCTACATCCCTTGTCCCAAGCCCCTCTCCAGCTTTCCTGCAGCCCCTTCAGGCACTGGAGCTGCTCTCAGGTCTCCCCTTCAGGAGCCTTCTCTTCTCCAGGCTGCCCCAGCCCAGCTCTCTCAGCCTGGCTCCAGAGCAGAGCTGCTCCAGCCCTCTGGAGCTGCCCCTCAGGCAATGCTAAACCCCAGGACCTGCAGCCTTTGTGCCCCTCGTAGCAGGAAACCGAGGGCTCTGGGGTCTCTCTGGGCACTGCTGGGATGTGCCAGTTCAGTGCTTTCCAGTTTACTGGATGCTTTTGAATCTCTGGTTTGGATCCAGCCTGGACTGAAACCAACTGGAGAGGAGCAAACCAAAGGGGTTCCCGGCAGTGACTGCGCTGGGCAGTGGCCAGGGCCTTCCCCCAGGACCACTCGGGGCTGCTCTTGGCATTGAGCTCACACGAGCCCTTGTGCACAGGCAGAGCCAGGCCTCAGATGGGCCCTTGCTCACACAAACCTGTCCAAGGCAGTTACTTGGGTGCTGTTTGCTGGGCAATGATCCTGTGGGATCAGGGCTCCAGAACACACTGTGCAGCAGGAACACCCTTGTGTACTGGGGGGCACCCCACCATGGTGGTGGTGGTGGTGGGGGTGACACAAACTGCTCCTGGGCTCATTGAAAGGACTTTGCCATGGAGTCAAATCCATGTGTGAGGACTTGTGCCACCTCCTCCTCTCCCTGGAGACACAGCATAGGGCTGCAGGGACTCGCTGTGGGTACCGATGCCGTTATCAAGAGCACACGAGGAGGAGGGTGGGTGCTGGGGCTCCCCTGCGACCTCCTTGTCATTGCACCCCGCCTGCAGGTTGGATTATTCAGGAATTGCACTGCTGATCATGGGAAGCTTCGTCCCATGGCTCTACTACTCGTTCTACTGCTCCCCGCAGCCAAGACTCATCTACCTCTCCATCGTCTGCGTCTTGGGCATCTCGGCCATCATCGTTGCGCAGTGGGACCGCTTCGCCACCCCTAAGCACAGGCAGACCAGAGCAGGTAGGGGCTGCCCCATCCTCCCCCTGCAGCCCCAGTCCCTTTGGGCAACCTTCACTGATGCAATGCCTCTGGCACAGCCTCTCCTCAAGGCGAGGAGCCGCGTTCCTTGTGCCTTTGAGGCTCTGGCATGAGCCCGAGGGCTGGCAGCACCGTCCCTGTGTGCGATGGGCTCTGCTGATCTCTCCACCGCAGGCGTGTTCCTGGGGCTGGGGCTGAGCGGGGTGGTGCCCACCATGCACTTCACCATCGCCGAGGGCTTCGTCAAAGCCACCACCGTGGGTCAGATGGGCTGGTTCTTCCTCATGGCCGTGATGTACATCACGGGCGCGGGGCTCTACGCCGCCCGCATCCCCGAGCGCTTCTTCCCGGGCAAGTTCGACATCTGGGTGAGTGGTGGGGAGCAGGCGGTCACTGGGGTGAAGGGTGGGGAGCTTGCGGGTGTCCTGGTGCTCCTTTGGCTCTGCTCTAAAGGGCTTTCTCGCTCTGCCCCCCCCCCCTTTTCAGTTTCAATCACATCAGATCTTCCACGTGCTCGTGGTGGCCGCAGCCTTTGTCCACTTCTACGGCGTGTCCAACCTGCAGGAGTTTCGCTACGGCCTCGAAGGGGGGTGCACGGACGACTCTCTGCTCTGAGAGCGCCGGGTTTTAGTCCAAGCTTCCCAAGTGCTTTTTAAACTCTTTTTGTCTTTGCTAAAAAGAAGAAAAACAAAAACCTCCAAGGCAGGCCCCAAACCGTGCGGGGTTCTTGGGATGGGGGGGGTGGGTTTTTAAAGCTAAATAACAAATTCCTTAGCAAAGTTGACCAAATCCTCACCCCCCTCTTCCCCTGCACCGCCGGGGCACTGGCAGCCAGCCCCTGGGGGAGCTGCACCGGGGTCCCCCGAGCCCCCCTCGCATGCATCCCCCGTGTGTGCTGCGGCCCCGGGCCCCGGTTTGAGTTGTCCTTTATCTGTTCTGTTTGTCCTTGACACAGTAATGTACCAGAGGAGAGACTATTTAATATTTAATACTATGCTTTAAGAAGCCTTTGCTGGCACCGCGCCGCCCTCGGCCCCCTCGCTGGCTGTGGCGGGGAAGGGAGGGCAGCGGGGCAGGGCAATGTAGAGCTGCTGTAGCTGATTGAAATAAACAGGTCAATAGTTCCGTGTGGTGCTGCTGGCGTCGGGCTCTGCTTTTTTGGTGGAGGGGGGGTTTGGGATGAGCGCTGGGAGTGTTCATGTGGGGCCGGGGCAGAGTCCAGCCCCAAGGGCTGAACTCAAAGACATAGGATAAGTCCTGGGTGTTGCAGTGATGAGAGGGCAGGAAACGGCACCTTCCTGTGGGCACGGGGCCCTGGGCTGCTGCTGGGACCAGCAGCAGGGCAGGGAGGGGATCCTGCCCCTCTGCTGTGCTCTGGGGAGACCCCCCTGCAGTCCTGGTCCAGCTCTGGGGCAGCAGCACAAGAGGGATGTGGAGCTGTTGGAGAGAGGCCAGAGGAGGCCATGGAGATGCTGCGAGGGCTGGAGCAGCTCTGCTCTGGAGCCAGGCTGAGAGAGCTGGGCTGGGGCAGCCTGGAGAGGAGAAGGCTCCTGAAGGGGAGACCTGAGAGCAGCTCCAGTGCCTGAAGGGGCTGCAGGAAACCTGGAGAGGGGCTTGGGACAAGGGCCTGTAGGGACAGGCCAAGGGGAATGGCCTTAATGGGACTCTGTGCCCTCCTTCCTGGGATCAGCGCGGCAGAAAGGATGCTGCAGGTGGGGGATGAAGGACACCCAAAATCAGAGGCTTCTTGTCATGCAGGAGCACGTGTGAGGGACTGGCCAGTGCATATGGTCATGGGCGATCAGAGGGTAAGAGCCGTTTGCCTACAGTTCCCCTCCAGTGCAGCCCTAAGACAGCTCCATGGCATGAGAGGAGGAGCTGTGGGATCTGAGTGCTGGTGATGGACACACGGGGGATGCTCTGGGGCCGATGGGGCAGGCTGCAGTCCTCTCTGAGGCTCACAGTGGGGTCTCAGCTGGAGCCAGGAGCGTTGCCCGAGTGACAGGGAGCAGGAAAACTGCCTTCAGGAGCCAGGTCAGTGGCAAAGGCAAGACAGAGCCACACACTGTCTATGTCTGTTACACCCCAAGAGCAGCTCCATGAACCTGGAAGGTACCAGAGACTCAACAGCTGGGAATCCTGGAGCAGCTTTAGCATGGGCAGCGGGTTGGGAACAGGAAACTGTCCCTTTTCCAGGGTGGTGGATACAGGAGAGGGGCAGGATTTGCACTCACACTTTGTACGATCCCAATTCAGCCCTTGGGCAGCCATTACCATGCTGATTCTGGGTTATCTCCACCCTCTCCTCCTACCCACCACAAGGGCCAGACTTGGTTCCCTGACAGAGAGCAGAGGTGGAGCTCCCTGCAGGGCAGAGGAACCACGAAGCTGCTTGGGTGCCATGACCCAGGTCTTCTGGAGCACAGCTACTGCAGCGAGGCCAGCACGAACAGCAAACCTCAGCGGGTCATTTGGTACCTGCTGGCCTCCAAACTGGAAGGCAGATGGTTTAACTGCGCTCAGGACTGGGTCTGAGGGTACCCAGGGCAGCTCTGGCCCCACAGCCCTGCGTGTGTTCTGGGCAGGGCTCGCTGCACGGTCCCAGGAAGCAGCAGCACAGGAGCAGGATTAGTTTGCTGCCACCTCCTGCTAACAGAGGCTCAGAGCCTCAGGGTTTAGAGGGAGGTGGACCCACAAAAGGCAGATTCAGCTCCAGGTGCAGAGCTGGGGCTGGGAGCAGCGTGGAGAACACAGAACAGCACCGGAATACGTGTTGCTGGAAGGAATTTTCACTAGCTTGGGCACTCTCCTGCTAATACTCACTTTAGGAATGGAAAACTGGGTGTAGATAAAACTCTTTTCCTTAAGCTGATAAACGGGCAGCGACCTAAATCCGGTGGGGAAGAGGCTCAACTCCAGCTGTGCTCAACGCGGGTGCTCAGAGCCACATCCCAGGGAAGACTCCAGAGGCTTCCACTGCAGTCTGTGTCCAAAGGATGACAAGACTCCACTTGGTCCTTGTGTGAACCCTCCATGTATTCTACCAGACACTCACTAACATGACAGCAATGGAACCTATCACGAATAAATAGACCTGTCCTCTCCTACAAGTTCTCCTGCGTGGCTCGACACCAAGAAGGGCTGAAGGTTCCTCCTGGCGTGGTTCGTGTCCAGAGATGACCACTGGTGGGAAGACGAAGCACAGCTGGGGCTGCCAGTGCTGGAAGTGAGAGCTGAGGAGAACGGGAGCGGAGGAGGATCACTGGTACTGCCTGTAGTCACCAAAGGGAGAGGGCGAGGGAGCGGGCGGCAGCTGGGAGGGATCGTCTGAGAACTGGGGGCCTGTGACAAGGCAAGAGGGGGGAAAAGGCAAAGAGTTAATGGCAAAGGCAGGAGAAACTCCCCCCTCGGAGCTGGGAGCAGCTTCGCAGTGGCTGTGTCCAGAAACATCCCACTGCAGACTGATGGAGGCAGAGACGTTTGGGTTTGTTTTCATTCAAAGCGCTCTGTGCATCCGACAGACCCAGAGAGCTGGGCTTGGAGGAGAAGAGCTCTGAGGAGAAGGCTCCAGGGAGACCTGAGAGCAGCTCCAGTGCCTGAAGGGGCTGCAGGAAAGCTGGAGAGGGGCTTGGGACAAGGGATGTAGGGACAGGCCAAGGGGAATGGCTTTAACCTGCCAGAGGGGAGACTGAGATGAGCTCTTAGGCAGAAGCTCTTCCCTGTGAGGGTGCTGAGGCGCTGGCACAGGGTGCCCAGAGAAGCTGTGGCTGCCCCATCCCTGGCAGTGTTCAAGGCCAGGTTGGACACAGGGGCTTGGAGCAAGCTGCTCTATGGAAGGGGTCCCTGCCCGTGGCAGGGGTTGGAGCTGGAGGAGCTTTAAGGTCCCTTCAACACAAACCAGGCTGGGGTTCTACGCTTAAGAGCTTCAGGGCTGGACTTTCACCTCCTTTACTAACAGGGAAATGAACTGGAGCAGAGAGGAAAACACTTCCAGCCCTGTAGAGCAGCTGGAACGCTCTTCCTTGTCACCCTCGAGCTGAACTTCACCATCCCCGAAGGCTGCCCCACAGAAACTCCCCTGCCAACAAAGCGAGGCACAAAGGGAACCGATGGCCTGGAGTCGCCCTCCTGAGGCCGCTCACGGCCGTGCTGCTGCAGGGAAGCAGTAAGTGGGCTGTGTGCTGGGGTTAATAAGCTGTGCCTCAGGGGTGAAACTCCTGCTCCAGAACAGATGAACTTCAACACGTCTTTGTAGTAAGAGAAGAAATGGTTACAGCTTCGACTGAGCAAAGGGCAGCAGGGAACAAGCCAAGAAGCCCCTGAGGAATTCGTGGCTTGCTCCTCACCCTTCCAACCCCAGTGGGTTTGGTTGCATTCATTAGAATCATAGAATAGTTAGGGTTGGAAAGGACCTGAAGATCATCAAGTTCCAACCCCCTGCCATGGGCAGGGACACCTCACACTAAACCATGGCACCCAAGGCTCTGTCCAACCTGGCTTTGAACACCACCAGGGATGGAGCATTCACAACCTCCCTGGGCAACCCATTCCAGTGCCTCAGCACCCTCACAGTAAAGAACTTCCTCCTTAGATTCAACCTAAACTTCCCCTGTTTCACTTTGAACCCCTCACCCCTTGTCCTGTCACTACAGGACTACTCCCAGAGTAAAAGTGGGGGGCAGAGGGTGAAGTACTTGCACAGGGAGGACTGACACAACCAGGTTCCACCTCGGCCAAGTGAACCCTCAGCCTGTGTTTGCCTCAGGAAAAACCAACCAGGAGGTTGGGTTGGAAGCAGGTTACTGAAAACCCACCATTAACTCCAGGGAATCTCTCCCCTGGCTCCATCTGCTGCTCCCTATCACCTCCTTTAACCCGGGCTTCCCCACACACTTGCATGCAGACCACAGGCACCTGCCAGAACCACTCCTCTGCCCAGAGCCTGCTGCTTGCTGCTCCTTCAAACCTGCTGTGTCACCCAGTGCCGAGTGCAGTGCAGCACCCTCAGCCCGTGTGGCTGCGCCAGGGACAGGGCAGGGCACAGGGGCAGCAGGGACACCCCTGCTTTCAGCCTCCAGCCACCCAGAGGGAAGGCATGGAGGAGCCTCATCCATCTGCCTCCCCCCTGACTTCCTACAGCCTTCCCAGCCAGCGGAGCACATGGACTCCGTGGTCAGAGCAGCGAGGGGCAGGGCTCTGTCGGTAAAGGCTGTGCCACAACAGCTTTGTGACAGTGACACCCTGCATCCCTGGGGGCTCCTCACCGTTTGCAAACTGTGTGGAAGCAAATCTGGTCAAGAGAATTCCAGCTCCTTCGATTAAAGCCAGCAGAATTCCTCCCATGGCAGCAGATCCCACCATGGCGACGGGGCCGTCTAAAAATCCAAAGCACAAAACACCACTTTTGAGTCCCCTGTGCACCTTTGGCTCCTGCTGCAGTTCTCTTCTCTCCTAGAAGCAGACTCAGAAGCAGTCGTTTTGCATCCACGAAGCCTCACTGGCATCACCAGTAAAAGGATCACGACTCAGCAACTCTCCCCCTCCGTGGACACAAAGGAACTGGATAACGTTTCCCTACTTGATGCTTCCCTGAGCACAGGACAAAAGCCTCCCATTACCCTTCCAGTCCTCTGAGAAAGGAAATTGCACTTTGGGTACCACAGGTGCTTCACTACAGTGATGAGAACATTGATAATACAGAGGTTTTTCAACCCACAGCCTCAATTCCTTACTTCTTGCAGCTAATATGGCTCCAGTCAGGGCTCCGCTGGTGATGGAATTCCAGGGATCCTCCTTCCCTCTCATTCTGACCATACTGCAGTCGATCATGGAGAAGAGGCCTCCCCAGACAGCAAAGCTCCCTGTGAGAAACCACACAAGAGCCTCTGTAGGGGAAGCAGAGAAGCCAGCTCCGGTGCAGGCACATCCCCAAGAGGCGGCGCAGCACCAGTGCTGCAGGTGACGGGGAAACACATCCCAGCAAAGAGCCAAACGTGGGGTAAAAGCAACACTGAGACAAGTTCCCAGGGAGCACACGTTGCATTACACGTTATTGGAGAGGTCACACATCATAATGCACACACGGAGTTTAGACAGGGGATCCTGCCCCGCTGCTGTGCCCTGGGGAAGACCCCCCCTGAAGTCCTGATCCAGCTCTGGGGCAGCAGCAGCAGAGGGACGTGGAGCTGTTGGAGCGAGGCCAGGGGAGGCCATGGAGATGCTGCGAGGGCTGGAGCAGCTCTGCTCTGGAGCCAGGCTGAGAGAGCTGGGCTGGGGCAGCCTGGAGAAGAGAAGGCTCCTGAAGGGGAGACCTGAGAGCAGCTCCAGTGCCTGAAGGGGCTGCAGGAAAGCTGGAGAGGGGCTTGGGACAAGGGATGTAGGGACAGGCCAAGGGGAATGGCTTGAACCTGCCAGAGGGGAGACTGAGATGAGCTCTTAGGCAGAAGCTCTTCCCTGTGAGGGTGCTGAGGCGCTGGCACAGGGTGCCCAGAGAAGCTGTGGCTGCCCCATCCCTGGCAGTGCTCAAGGCCAGGTTGGACACAGGGGCTTGGAGCAAGCTGCTCTATGGAAGGGGTCCCTGCCCGTGGCAGGGGTTGGAGCTGGAGGAGCTTTAAGGTCCCTTCCAACCCAAACCAGGCTGGGGTTCTGCAGTGATTTAGTCCTCGTCTCAGCAGCCAAGAGAAGCAATTCAGCTTCTAAACTGAGCTTCCCAATCACTCACCTCCCAGCTGTGGAGCTCTTGTTTTAATTGCTGTCAGGCTGCCCCGCAGCCGGTGGTTCACACCCTGCAGGAAAAGAGACACAACAGTTACAAGGAGAGTGCAGCCTCACAGCCCATCTGACTGGGTACAGCACAAAGCTGCCACCAGCCCAACCTAGTTCCAAGGCAGCTGTGAGCAGGAGCTGGCAGAAAACACATTTTCCACACACCCTGGTACTTATCACAGCCTTATGAAGCCCTGTCAACTACAGAAAGGAATTACAGCTCCAGGCCTGAGCCACTTTGAGATCAAAGTGTGTCTGAGTGGCCTGCAGGGGTTGAAGAGGACACTTAATGTTCAGCAAGAGAAGCCTGTTAATTTTCCAGGTGCATCATTGCTTTGTTCCTAGCTGGCGCTGCCTCACTTGACATGCTTTGCACACCAGTGGAGCCAACAGCAGCATCTGGTGCAGGTCACCACAGGGAGGAGACTCTGTCCATGGACAACAGGGAAATCCACCCAGAGGAAGAGCACCATGGGCTGTGCTAGAGGAAAACCACACGTTGAAATGTCACGTTTCCATTGGGTCTATTCCAGTACAGTCACCTCAACCCTGTTTCCGATGCCCACAGAGCAGGAGCAATGTGCTCAGCTGGCAGCTCTAGGCTCACTGGTTGTCCCAAATTCAGTCATTCCTGCTGGTCAGGTGGAGGACTGGAGCAGCTCTGGAGCTGGGCTGGGTCAGCCTGCAGAAGAGAAGGCTCCTGAAGGGGAGACCTTAGAGCAGCTCCAGTGCCTGAAGGGGCTGCAGGAAACCTGGAGAGGGGCTTTGGGCAAGGGCCTGTAGGGATGGGATGAGGAAAACCAGCTTCCAACTGGAAGAGGGAAGAGTTTGATGAGATATTGGGAAGAAGCTCTTCATTATGAGGGTGGTGGCACAGTGGAATGGGTTGCCCAGAGAAGCTGTGGCTGCCCCATCCCTGGCAGTGTTCAAGGCCAGGTTGGACACAGGGGCTTGGAGCAAGCTGCTCTAGTGGAAGGGGTCCCTGCCCGTGGCAGGGGTTGGAGCTGGAGGAGCTTTAAGGTCCCTTCCAACCCAAACCAGGCTGGGATTCTGTGAATATTTAGTCCCTGTACCCAGAAGGATGAAGGACCCACATGGATCCTGAGCACTTCCTCAGATCTGGATTAACGACACGTGGGGTTTAAGCAGCCCCACTCCCAGGGATTTCTCCTCTGTACCTTCAGCTGGGCAGATTCCCTGCTGCTGGGCAGAGGCAAGGAGCAGGCTGCACCCTGCACATGCTCTGCCATGACTTGGCTTACCACTGGGGAATTCCTGAAGCCCTTGATAGCCTGGAAGATGCCACCTCCGATGGCTCCCATGGTGAAAGCGCCTCCGCAGTCATCCACTATCCTCCAGGGACTGGGGAGAGAAGGACAAAAACACCAGATTACATCATGGGACATGGTGCAAGAAGCTGCACAGGAGGCACTGGCCCAGCACCAGGGTGCCAGCTGCACGGCCTCCCAGCCAGCAAGTCATAAACCCCATAGGAAAACAACCTCGACCTTTGGGGAGAGCCCAAGAAGCCACCTCCCTGGCACGTCAGTGTCAGCTCCAGCTCAGCTCCTCACACAGGGCAAGGAGACACGTTTCCAGCCTGGAAAACCACTGCAGAATTCCAGCCCTGTCCTACTTAGGGAGTGTAAAGAGCGTCACATTGACTGCTCTCCCTGGAAACTGCAGTGGTAAATTCAAGCAGGCTCAGCTCTCAAAGCACCTCACGGCTCAGGCTCCTCATGAGCTCTGCTTTGTTAAATGAGAGACTTCAAAGGCATCTCCTGTTCGACTGCAAAGGTTTTTCCTGCTGCATCCTGGCTCTTTGAAGTGCATTCAAAGGAAACACAGCCCCTGCTGGAGGTTGCAGTGACTCCACCACCACAGAGCATCAAATGGTTCCCATCGACAAGCAAAAGCTTTGCAACAAAGAGCATGCTGCTGACAGCAAACCCTTTGAACACCGGTGAGGTGAGCTTTCATCTGGGGTTCAAACAAAACCTGGGAGCTTTGTAACTCCCCACCACGAACCTGGACTCCTAAACTAGGGGAGCACCAACCTGCTCTTCACCGTCCCCACTGCTGCTGACATCCCAACACAACAAGGTCATTGTGTTGCCTTCATCTTCCATCAGAATCTGACAGCAAAGCCCAGCACTGTGGGGTTTAGGAGGTGGAGTGAGCTGAGCTCTGAGGCAGAAGCTCTTCCCTGTGAGGGTGCTGAGGCGCTGGCACAGGGTGCCCAGAGAAGCTGTGGCTGCCCCATCCCTGGCAGTGTTCAAGGCCAGGGTGGACACAGGGGCTTGGAGCTGCTCTATGGAAGGGGTCCCTGCCCATGGCAGGGGTTGGGGCTGGAGGAGCTTTAAGGTCCCTTCAACACAAACCAGGCTGGGGTTCTATGAATCCGACCTTACCTTGCATGCAGCAACAAGTACATGGTTTCCTTCCTGTGAGGGCTGCCCTTAAAGTCAGGGAAACATCAGTGACATTAAACTTGTAGGTAAGTGATAGATTAACAGTGGAATCATCTCTTTTATTCTCTTCCAATTCTTTCCCCCACCAGGCTCTGGTGCTGGTGGGACTGTGGGTGCTTAGTGTCAGAGCTGGGACACACAGGGAATGGTTGGGATGGTGTCAAAGAGGTTTCCTCATTGAAAAGCTGCTCCTGAGGGTGCTGGAGGGAGTTTCAAAGGGAAAGGAAGAACCCCAGAGGGAGCAGGTAATGAGCTTGACATTGAAGCAGGGTTAAAGAGAGGCAAGTGTGTGATTGGGGGCTGATTAATGAAGCTCCTGTAAATAACAGTCACTGCTCAGTTGGGATTCTCTGACCTTTGGGGCAAAGGGAGACCACTTTCCATAATCCATCTGGATTTCAAGCAGGCCTTTACCAAGAGTCCTGTCAGCAGGTTAATGAAGGGCAGCTTGTGAGGAGATGTTTTATTCATAACAGAGCAGATCACAATCAGGAGACGGGGAGAAGAACAAACCATCATCAAAACAGCCTCGAGAAGAAAGGCTTCGGTTGCTTTTCATCTTGGCATCCCTGCCAACAGAATGTGCCTGGAACCTCTTCCTCATCATTAAAAGTAAAGGGAGAAGGAAAATAAAAGAGGGGAGAAATGTAAAAGCAGGAGAAAGGGAAGGAAAATGTGATTTGGGAGTAAGGAATTGAATTGAGTTGAAGCTGGAGGGGCTTTGTGGGGAGCTGGGATGAAAGCCTTGGTGCAGGCAGGGTGACAGGGGAGGAGGGGGATGTGTGAAGGGATGATGTGTGATCCTCCTGTGTCCCAAATCCGTGTGGGGCTGGGCTGCTGCTGTCACTGCTGGCACCGGGATGGGGTTGTGGTGCTTCAGAGCAACCAAGTGATGCCAAAGCAAAGCAAGTGACCGATGCCAAGAGGGCATTTCCCTTCCTTTGGGGGGGGTGCAGAGGTTGTGGTGCTCTGCTTGCTGTGAGGGAGAGGTTCAGGGGTAGGTGATGGAGTGAGGAGGGGCTGTGCTGGGGGCTGCAGGTTTGAGACATTGATCTCAGGAGATAAAAAAACACCTCAGGACAAAAGGTAATGACAGGATGGGGGGGCGGGGGGGGTGGCTTCAAGCTGAGAGAGAGGAGTTTACATTAGATACCAGCATAGAGTCACAGAACCCCAGCCTGGTTTGGGTTGAAGGGACCTTAGAGCTCCTCCAGCTCCAACCCCTGCCACGGGCAGGGACACCTTCCATAGAGCAGCTTGCTCCAAGCCCCTGTGTCCAACCTGGCCTTGAGCACTGCCAGGGATGGGGCAGCCACAGCTTCTCTGGGCACCCTGTGCCAGCGCCTCAGCACCCTCCCAGGGAAGAGCTTCTGCCTAAGAGCTCATCTCAGTCTCCCATCTGGCAGGTTCAAGCCATTCCCCTTGGCCTGTCCCTACATCCCTTGTCCCAAGCCCCTCTCCAGGTTTCCTGCAGCCCCTTCAGGCACTGGAGCTGCTCTCAGGTCTCCCCTTCAGGAGCCTTCTCTTCCCCAGCCCAGCTCTCCCAGCCTGGCTCCACACTCGCTCCTCTCCCCAGCGGCAGCCGAGGTTGCCCAGAGGTGAGGAACGCCGCAGCCAAGGCTCTGCTCCCACCGGGGAGCAGCCACAACCGGTTCATCCCAGCGGCCAGGCCGGGGCTGCCCACACCTCAGCCACGCTTCATCCCCGCGCTACGCCCCGTCAGCACCGAGCCCCTGCCTCCCCTGCGGGCCGTGCCCAGCGCACAGCACCGGCTACAGCCGGTCCTGCAGCGGCACACGGCGGGGGGGGGGCACAGAGAGAGCGGGACAATGACCACCGTGTGCTGGGGAGGGTTATGAGAGAGGGGAGCACACAGCAACCGGTACAGGGCATTCACCTGGCCCCGCTCTGTGCTGTGGGGAGGTGCTGTGATGGGGAGCCCCGCGGGGGGGGCCCGGTGGAGCTGAGGGGCTGGTCCCGAGGCTCCCATCCCGTTGGGCCGGTTTAATTGCCTGTTGGCACGGTTTATTGTCCATTGGCACGGTTTATTACCGGTTGCCACGGTTTATTGCCAGTTAAAACGGTTTATTATCCGGTGGCACCGTTTATTACCGGTTGCCACGGTTTACTACCCGTTGGCACGGTTTATTACCCGGTGGCACGGCTTATTGCCCGTTGCCACGGTTTATTACCGGTTGCTATGGTTTATTGCCAGTTAAAACGGTTTATTACCCGGTGGCACCGTTTATTGCCCGTTGCCACCGTTTATTACCGGTTGCCACGGTTTACTACCCGTTGGCACGGTTTATTCCCCGTTGCCACGGTTCATCACCCGTCGGCACGCTTTATCACCACACCAAACGCTGTACGTTGCACCGCTGCCCCAGACACAGCCGGAACGCGGCCGGGTCCAACCCCACCGCACCGAGGGAGGCAGCGTGAGGCCGAGCCGGGGTCCAGCAGCCTCCCCCCCCTTCCCGGTGCTTTCCCCCCCTCAGTGAGGCTCCACCGGCCCCGGTACCAGCGCGCCTGCAAGGCCCAGGCCGCGGGCCCGGCCGCTGCCTCAGGGGGGCCCCACCAAGGTCACACACCCGCACCACACACACCCCCCCGGCCGGCAGCGAGGCCTCCCCCCGTTCCCACCCCGTTATCCCCCGTTCCCCTTAACCCCGTTTTCCACCCCACAACCGGGCCCCGCCGGTGCGGCGGCCGGCGCTCACCAGGGCTCCCGCGCGTACTCCTCCATCTTGGCAGGCCCCGCCGCCCTCCGCCCGCCTTCCCCCCCCACGCCATTGGCTGAGCGCGACCCCCAGCAGGCCAATGGGGAGGCAGAGGGCGGGACTAAGCGGCTGGCGCATGCGCGGTACTCATTCCTTCCCCTCAAGCCCCGTAGCTGGGCCTCACGGCGCGGCCTAGTTCCGGGCGCCGGGACGGGAACGGCCCCGCACCCGAACGTGCCCTGCGGTGAGCAGCGGCTCCGGTGCAGGGAGAAGGCGTTGTGGTGGCTCTGTGAGGGCTTCATCCGGTTGTGGTGCTGAGCGAGGCCCGCCCGCCTTAACGTGCTGTGAGACAGCGCTGCTCGGGAGCCTCACCCCGCAGGGAGCCCCTCCAGCGCCTGCAGGAAGCCTGGAGAGGGGCTCGGGACAAGGGATGTAGGGACAGGCCAAGGGGAATGGCTTTAACCTGCCCGAGGGGAGACTGAGATGAGCTCTTAGGCAGAAGCTCTTCCCTGTGAGGGTGCTGAGGCGCTGGCACAGGGTGCCCAGAGAAGCTGTGGCTGCCCCATCCCTGGCAGTGCTCAAGGCCAGGTTGGACACAGGGGCTTGGAGCAAGCTGCTCTATGGAAGGGGTCCCTGCCCATGGCAGGGGTTGGAGCTGGAGGAGCTTTAAGGTCACTTCAACCCAAAGCAGGCTGGGTTCTGGGGTTTATGTCCCAAGGACTGTTCTGGCACATTCCCCCTTACTGGAGGAGCAGGGGCTGGTGCAGTGCTGCAGGTCACCAGGAGGTGGTGCTGTGGCTTCTGCTTTGGCTGAGGGGGGGGAGATGGGGAGAGGAAAAACCCCCTCGGAGCAGCCCCCTCCACTCTGGTGTTCCTGTTACTGCTGTGACTGGCCCCACACTGATCCAGCCCTTCTTAGCATGGCAATTGCTTGCGGTAGCCTCGTCCTTTGCCTTACTGGGTGGCAAGTTCTACCTCAGCACCCTCACAGGGAAGAGCTTCTGCCTAAGAGCTCATCTCAGTCTCCCTGCTGGCTGGTTAAAGCCATTCCCCTTGGCCTGTCCCTTCGTGTCACCTGGTTTGTCATGAAACGTCTTGGAAGCAAGATGTGTGTTTAACAGTAAACGTGTTTCTGAGGGAAATAAAACATTCAAGGAATCCATCCCATTTGCAGTGTCCTGTATCAGCTAATGGGAATAAAGAAAGGAAGAGAGATGGGGGTTGGAACTGCATGATCTTAGGGTCCTTTCCAAGCCTAACTGTGATTCTCTGATGGTCCTAGGTGGTGTCACGAGAGGTGAGGCACTGAAGAGCATCCCCAGCTCTGCCAGAGCCCACGGACGTGTGCCTGGACAAGCTCAGTGTGACTCTGCCTCAGCTCCTCATCCCCAGGACGCGGCTCATCCCCTTGCTGTGGTTCAGAGGCTGTTGTGCAGCAATCCCCATCAATGCCTCCAAGGTGCTCGGTTGCTATGGAGATGGGGAATCCAGAGAAATCCAGACACTGGCGGAGCCTCCCTGGAGACTGGGAGGTGCTGGGAGCTCCTCTGTGCCTCACTGCACCCCACGCTGGGCTGGGCTGTCCTGGCTGGAACGGCTACAGAGGGACAGCATCCAAAGGATGGAGCCGGATACAGAGCAAGGCTCAAGGGTCCTCACACAGGCCCCCAGTCCCTGGTGCTGGTGGCCTGGAGCTGCTCTTATTCTGGGCTGAAAGCACTGGATTTTCTTTGGATGTTCTCTTTCTTTCAGCACTAGACTCTGTGGAACATGGTGCAGTCAGAGCTCTGTGGATATCCTTGTTCAGAAAGGGATGTGACAGCCAGGATAAATGGCAGGAGGAACATTCTCATAGAGTCATGGACTGGTTTGTGCTGGAAGGGACCTTAAAGCTCCTCCAGCTCCAACCCCTGCCACGGGCAGGGACCCCTTCCACTAGAGCAGCTTGCTCCAAGCCCCTGTGTCCAACCTGGCCTTGAACACTGCCAGGGATGGGGCAGCCACAGCTTCTCTGGGCACCCTGTGCCAGCGCCTCAGCACCCTCACAGGGAGGAGCTTCTGCCTAAGAGCTCAGCTCAGTCTCCCCTTGGGCAGGTTAAAGTCATTCCCCTTGGCCTGTCCCTACAGGCCCTTGGCCAAAGCTGCTGCTGTAGTGAGGTGGAACACTTAAGACAGTCATTTGGCTTCTTCAGATGAGGAGGGCACCAAATGGACACCAATGTGTTAAATTCTCTCTGGTTCCTGTTGCCTTCGTGCTGCTGCAGTTGTGGCAGTTTTGGGATGAGGGGAGGAAAAGAGCATCCAGGCTGAGAGCAGAAGAAGGTGAAGGGATGAGCCTGTCCCTCCTAGTCCTCAGTGCAAACCAGCACCAAGATGAGGGTCATGATATCAGGGAGACAGAAGTGATGCAATGTTCAGGGTTATGGTAACTTAACCACTTGGTAACTAAACCCAACAGTTTCTTCTACAATCTATAAAGAGCCTTGGGCGTGCTGGTGAATCACAGCAAGGTTTGAGCAGGAGTTGGAGGTAAATGAGATCCTAGAAGGCACCAACAGTGTGCATTCCCCATCAGGATGGGCAATGTCTCGTTTGTAACACATAGAGCATCCTGTGCCTGCATTCAGGGCAGGAGCTGAGCCAGGAAGATGGGCAGAGGAGGGGATGAGGCTTATTACAAGAGCTTATTTTACTGAGCAAGACAAAAGGGCTGTTTGCTTGGTCTAGCAAAGAGAGAGGCCTGGGAGCAGGCAGTGAGGAGGATGGTAAAGGGTAAAGTTGCAGTGTGACAAATGGGTCCAAAATACTGTGCATGGGGTAAAGCTGCCTTGAAGCCTGGAGAGAGGAGCCCACCAGCCTCTGTCCCTCTGGGAGAGCTTTCAGGTGCCAGTAAGCTGCTGTATGGATTAGGCTGATGGAAAGTAGGTGCCTCCAAGCCAAGCCCAGCCCAGGCTTAGGGCGCTGCCTGAACCAGAAGCAGGAGGGACTCAGGAATTTCCTCTGTGCAGAAGCAGGGCTGACTCTGGGGCTTGGCAGGGGGGAGATGGGAATGCAGTGGGGAAGAGCAGGAGCACTGCTCCAGAGGAGAGGGGAGAAGCAGGAGCTCCGATAAAGGGAGCCAGGGATGCGCTGGGGGCAGAGTCAGCAGCGTGAGGGAGCCCCCCCCCGACCTCTCTACCAGCCCTCCAGCACGGATGGCCCCATGGTAGGGATCTGCCTCCCACCCCCCCATCCCCAGCCTGCCAGCTTGTGCATTTTTGCCTGTTTTCTCACTAGGTTGGCCTATTGCCTTTAAAAGGCTAAATGCTCCGGACTAAATTTGGTCATGCAGCTCTGCATGGTTCCCTGGAATGTCCTCGGGTTTCAGGCTCCTCTGATAGCACCATTCCCCGCCTCCCACTGGGCTCCATTGGCTTCCCAGCTCCCAAACCGCCGCTGGACCCTGTTATTGGCCAACCCTTGGACCGAGGGGTGTCCCCTCTTTCTAACCACTATATCCCAAGGCTGCAGGCGTTGGGAGTCACTGGGATTTAACACTTCAGCACCTGCTGCTGCTGGGGAAGCAGTCGGAGCTTCGGCTTCTGGTTTTTCTCCTTCCTTGGGTACCACACAACCGCCACCGTGTCTCGCCAGCGAGCCAAGATGTCCAAAGTGGCCAAATACCGGCGACAAGTCAGCGAAGACCCAGACATCGACAGTTTGTTGTCGACTCTGTCTCCAGAGGAGATGGAGGAGCTGGAAAAGGAGCTGGACGTGGTGGATGCGGATGGCAGCATCCCACTGGAGCTCAGGCAGGAAAACCCGGCGGAGAACAGCGACGTGACGCTCAACCACTGCGGAAAGGAGACCAGGAAACGTCTTCAGAGGGAGCAGTCGGTTGATGTAAGTTGCATCTCACCACGTCGAGGTGCTTGGTGGGATGGGGAATGAAGGGGGGGAAATAGCTGTGAGCTCCGCTGGGGTGGTGTAGGGAGGAGGTGGAAAACGGGAATGCTGAGGAAGGCGCTCGCTAAGGAGGAGATGTTGTGGTGTAGGGACCAGAGGAGCGAGGCAGGGACCTGCTCCAGGCACTCCAGGAGGGAACAGGGTGTTCCATGAAGTGCTGGGGTTACAGAGCCCAAAGCTGTGCTGGTGCAGGGGGTTTCTCCCTGCTGGGGCCAGTGACAGCGATCCCATGGGCTGCCTTGCTTTGTGCTGTATTTTCCCCTTTGGATATCTCTGAATTCTTGATCCCTTTTATTCTTCTTGTGCAAAAGCTTCAACAGTCTCTACTTCTGGTGGAATAAAAGAGGGGTGCTGCCTTGGAGCTGGGGGAAATCACCCCAAGAACTGGGTTTTACCCCAAGCCACTTGTTCCGTGCTTATTCAGTTAAATCCATGCTTTGCTTTTCCTTTGGCTACAGTTACCTCCTTCTCCACACCTGCAATAGCTTCCTGGGAGCTGGAAAGCTTCGTGCCAGTCCCTCTCCCTGTGCCTTGCCTTAGTGGGAGCTGATCCCATTCCTCCCTAACCCTTGGTAACCTCTGCACTAAGAATATTTGGTATGTGCTTGGTGTGTGGGAGGCCGGGAAGCGTTTGCTTTCCCTGGGTTTTCACAGCAGGCTGAGCCACACGGGGAATCTTCAGCCTTTATCTGTGCATTCACAGGCAGGTTCCATGTCCCAGGCTCAGAGGAGACGGGACAAGGCTGAGGGGTACCAGCAGCAGAGGCAGAGCCGAGGCTTATGTGGATACTTCCATTAACAGAGTGCTCTGGCTCTGATTTCTGACCTGTTCCAGCAGTAACCTGGATCTTCCAGCTGAGCACATGGAAATAGCTCTTTCTGGATGTTTATAATAGAGTTTGCTATAGGAGGGTCTTCTCCTGACCTGCATCTGGGAGAAAAGGATGAAAACTGCAGCTATAGGAGGAATAAATGAAGGTTTCTTTTGCAGGTCTGAACAAGGGGTTAAATAGTTCCCCCCCATTCCCCTCCAAGCTCCTTGTGCAGCCCCGGAGCTTTCCTCTGCTTGTGAGGATGAGGCACTCGCTGCCTTCACCTTCCCTATGTGGCCATGGGATCAGCAGGGTGCATTTTCCCATCTGTGGGCTGCTGGAAAACTTCTCCGTGGTGGGGAACTGTGGGTGCTGCAGGGCAAATGGGCCTGGAAAGGGAGATGCTGTTACGTGGGACCAGTTAGTCCAGTGGTGCTGCAGGGCTTTGCAGTGGTTTGCAGGGGATCCTGGCTTGCAGGCACTGAAAAAGCTGCTTGCTCAGGCAGGGGGATTCTTAGTTCAGCATCAGGAGTGATGCTGGTTTGCTTTTAGCCGTGGGAAGACGAGGAGTCAACTGGGAATTGGGATAGGGAAGTGTCCAGGATCAGGAGGAAGGGAGGGAATGTGTGCGTTGCATTGCAGTGACTGGGTATGGCAGAGCTGCCTTGCTTCTGTTGCAATCCCTGGAGGCCAAGAGCAGAATCTCCTCCACCTCTTCCTGCTCAGAATTGTTAGGACCTGGGATTAGCACCTGGCTCACAGCACGGGCAGGTCAGCCCATGGACCTTTGCTCCACCATGGGGCATGAGGATGGATGGGCTGGGCTGGGCTGGGATGGACTGGATGGATTGGGATCATTGGGCCACAGAAGCCATCACAGAAACCAGCCCAGGAAGCTGCTGCTTCCCTCCATGCCAAGAAGCCTCAGGCTGGGTTTTGCTGCAGGATGGATGAGAACACGGAGCCATCCGGAGCATCCCAGGAGGCTCCTGAGCTCTCATGGCAGCACTGAGGCCTGTGATGAAGCTGTGGCTGCCCCATCCCTGGCAGTGTTCAAGGCCAGGTTGGACACAGGGGCTTGGAGCAAGCTGCTCTAGTGGAAGGGGTCCCTGCCTGTGGCAGGGGTTGGAGCTGGAGGAGCTTTAAGGTCCCTTCCAACCCAAACCATTCCATGATTCCATGAAAAGCAAAGCCTTTGCAAGCGAGAAGCAGACGTGAGCATGGGAGGGAAGTGCAGGACGGGAGCAGGGAAGGAATGGGATGTCATTCCAGCGGGACTGGCCCTCTGAACATCTGGAACATGTTATCCTGTGTCTGGGATGTCTCTTCAGCAGGGAGGGACAGGAGGTTGGATTCTTGTCCTTGAACTACAGAGAGCGTCGAGGTGCATCGCTGCCTTCACATAGGCACTGAGGCTGGGAAGTATCCCCGAGCTCCTGCTGACCCAAGCTGCTGCACTCCTGCTCCCCACTCCTCCTCCTGTCTCCTGTTCCTCCATCCCTCGTTGTCCCTCTCTGTCCTGGTGGAACTTTGTCTCTTGTGCAGGAATTTCTCCCGATGAAGGTATTTGAAAGGGGAAGAGTTGAGTTTCTGCCCATCTCTAGAGTTCTCGCAGTCATGGCTCGTGTCCTGGCCCGGCTCCAGGCACCCTCATTCCCTTCTAAATATTGGGAAGAGTGAGTATATTTAGAACTCTTCTAACTGCAGAAGAACACATCTTCTTAGTGCTGAAAAGGGCAAAGTTGGGTAACTAGGAAGCAGTTTATAAACAGCCCAAAACAGACGTGAGCTTTGCCCTCCCGCGCCGGGCAGCCAAAGGCACGGCCTGGGGATGCAGTCATGAATTCATCTTCATTAAGCAGTGCTGGTGAAGGCATAACCCAGGCTGCGTGTCCCCAACGGCAGGGTTTAGGACAGGGCCTCCCTTGTGCCCAACAAGGCCTTCTTGTAGGTCACAGGAGCCAAAGTTAAAGCAATGTTCACAAGTAGATAAATGGAGAGATGCCCCCAATGCAGGAGGGACATGGAGCTGTTGGAGCGAGGCCAGAGGAGGCCATGGAGATGCTGCGAGGGCTGGAGCAGCTCTGCTCTGGAGCCAGGCTGAGAGAGCTGGGCTTGCATCTCCTCCTCCAGCACCACCGCCTTCCCTGGCAATGGATGGAGCCTCCTTCCCTCGACTTCATCTGCAAGGCGAGGACACTGGGATGTCCCGGTCCCATTGCTGTCCCCACTCCTGCTTCCCAGCAGGACTGCACTGATTTCATGCTGCTTCAAGCATGGATAGCTGGGAAAATGCAGGGAAATTGCATGTGGGGGCATCATCCTGCTGATGGAAGGGATTCATTCCAGGGCCACAGAGCCATTTCCTTTAGCAAGATGCTTGCACATGTGATGGATTTGTCTTTCCATGTGAGCCTTGGGAAAGCTCTGAATAGAAGCCATTGGGTGTACAGTCCACATGGGCCCTGTATTTGTATCTCCTGAAGGTTGGGCACCCTTCCCTTTCCTCTTGGATGTCCCTCTGGCCACACGCACCCCTTCCAGGTCCATGAAGCCCTGCAGGCTGCTTTGCCCAGCCCAGAGCTCTTGGGGATGTCCCTGGGATCTGTGGGGTTGATGGGTACAGCCACACGCTGGGACAGCGTTCCTCATGGCCAGGGTTTGATGCCAAGGGAAAAGCAGTGACCTTGGAGGGAGTTTACTAAACCCAAATGCATCATGCCTGAAGGCTGCTGGTGCCGGAGGGCAGCCGGTCCTGTTGCCACGCATGAGGATTACAGAACTCCTTGGGAAGGTCTTGGAAGTCCTGCTTTCCTTCCTCACTTACTGCATGGTTGGGGATAGGCTCAGGGCTCAGATCTAAGGGTTCTTCCCTTAGTGGGTAAGTTCCTCCCTGCCCAGGGCAGGGCTTTGGAACTGGATGAGCTTTTCAGCTCCCTTCCAACCCAACCCATTCCATGATTCTAGGAGAAGTGGAGCTCCCTCCCAGCAAGCTCTCCACCCCCGTGGCAAACCACGCTAGTCTTTAACTGCCTTGTTAATGCTCAGAACTCATCATCTTTTGATGAAAATACGTGGAGGGAAACCAAGCTCCACACTGAAATAACTGGTAAGGAGCAGAGGGAAACAGCAAACAGGGCAGGAAGGGCTTGTATCAGTCCTGGAGCATCTCAGCAGGTTGTGACTAACCCGTATGTATTTCACCTCTGCTCTTCTGTTTATCAGTCACTTCTGTCGGGATGCCAAGGCTGCTCCTTCCCTCTTCCAAGAGGCTTCTGCAGTTCCCAGCCCTTGCCTCTCTTTTACCCTTGTCCTGGGCAGGTCTCCAGCACTTGTCCTCCTCAGAGCATGCTCCTGTTCTGCCCAGCTCCTGCCCTCCACAGGAGGTGTAAGGGGTGGGTACCACTGAGCATCCTTGCTCTCTATGTTTCTCCAATAGCTCCTTGGCTCACGCTGGGATGGGCAGGGAATGAAGGTACAGGTGCTCCCACAGACTCAGAGTGGGAATGGAGCTGGTGGTGGCTGATGGCCAGGGATCATGGAGCCACAGAGTGGTTTGGGTTGGAAGGGGCCTTAAAGCTCCTCCGGTTCCAAACACCTTCCACTAGAGCAGGTTGCTCCACGCCCCATATCCAACCTGGCAAGCGAGGTGGCGACACAGCCAGGTCTGAGCTGCATTCCTGAAGGAACCTTGCAGCCACATCCTTGGGAAGCAGTGGCAGGAGCCTTGTTTTGCTGTGAGTGGCAGCACAAAGTGTTCCCAGTGCCTCATAGGTCACGTTGAAGGCGCGTTCCCTGTCTGGGACATGCATGGTCCATCTAAGGGCACGGGCAGGGAAAAAAGCTCCATTCCAAGTCAGCCTGCAAGGAAGCAGCCAAGAGGAAAAAGCCAAGTTGTGTATTGCCATCAAGCACAACTGGGATGCAGCTACATCCATGGCAATGCCTGGAAGTGTTCGGCTTATATGGGCCCAGCTGCCCAGGAGGTTCCTTATCTGCTGCTGTTGAGCTGATAAACAGACATAGAGAGGAGGAAAAGAGCTGGATCCTGTAGAGAACTGCTTTCCTTCGCAGCGTTAGGACATCATCTGTGTGCTAAAACAGTGCTGGTGACTCAGCTCCCAG